TTGTTTAAAAATTGAATTAGTCCTGTAATATCTAAAATCTAGGACTGTCATTTAATTAATTGCACAAATTGATTTAAACATCTAGCGTTAAAATTGGTAAAAAAAAAAATATATATATATATATATATGTATATGTGTGTGTGTACAAATTGATGTTGAAACAACATGTATAAAATTAGTAATTATAGCTCCAGGCCTGAATGCCAAATTATTGTTTTTGTTTAGAATTAATCAACAATTACAGAACATAAAAAATATTTTCATAAATTTTAATTTAAATGACTGTCACTTTTAGCTGTGCTTTTTATATAGTGGAAAGAAATTAATACAACTTTTTTTTTTATGGAAGCCTATTTCCGCCACTGAATAAAAATGTAAACAAGCTAATTGGGACTTTTTATCTCACAATTCTGAAATTTTTTTCTCGCAATTGTGAGTTTACATTTTGCGAGTTCTTACTTGCTCAACGACTCCCAAAAGATTCGCTCAACGATTCATTTCTTCAAACCCCTCCTTTGCGTGACGCTAATCTGCGGTAATTGGTCCGATTGAAAAGTATTAATTTCTATAATTTCTTTCCCAAAAAAATAATAAAAAAATGATACTGACTCCAAGCTTTTGAATGGAATAGTGTATGCTACAAAAGCTTTTTATTTCAGATAAATGCTGATATTTGGATCTTTCTATTCATCAAAGAATCAACTGTTTTAAATATTGATAATCAGCATATTAGAATGATTTCTGGATCATGTGACACTGAAGACAGGAGTAATTATGCTGAAAATGTAGCTTTGATCACAGGAATAAATTACATTTTAAAATCTATTCAAATAGAAAGCAGTTATGTTAAATAGTAAAAATATTTCAAAATTGTAGTGTTTTTTGCTGTACTTCAAAAAAAAAAAAAAAAAAGCGGGCTTAGTGAGCAGAAGAGAATTCTTTAAAAACATTAAAAATCTTACTGTTAACAAACCTTTGACTGGTAGTGTAGGCTGATTATTCTTATAGATTGAAACAAATGTGCTTCAGCCAGAAAAAAAGGGTATGAGTCGCTGCAGAAAAAAACAAAACAACAAAAACATGTTGCTGGAGACGGGCTTATTGAAAATGCAAACTGATTGTCTGCCAGCAGGAGGCGCTTTGAGAGCAGTAGAACTAGCGCTTTCTCCAATAACGGCTGTAATCAAATCAGCTCCGCTCATGAACGCTTCTTTATCAGATAAAATGAAAATGCCATCGAAACTTTTCTGAAGACAGTCGGTTCCCTTCAGAGATACATTCATATTCAATTAAGTCAAACGCCACAAATAAAATAATGTATGGGAAACACTGGTAATGTATATCGAAATATTGGAAATGTGTTTAAAAATCATATCACTGTTATTGAAAATAATTATATCGCGATACATATTGATATTGAATTATTGTCCAGCCCTAGTTTGTATCATGCAATTCTGAGAAAAAAAGTATTGTGAGTTTATATCTTATATTTAGTTTATATCTTATAATTCAGAGAAAATATATGTAAATTCACAATTGCGAGAATAGTCAGAATTGTGAGATAAAAACCTGCAATTACTTTTTTTTTTATTATTCACTCAGCTGCGGAAACTGGCTTCCCTATTTTTTCCCAGCTCTAATAAAGACTGATATTTTTTCCCCCCTTACCAGCGTGAAAAGTGGTCAGATCAGGAATGTTGAGTCTGCACGAGTGTCCATGGTTGGACAGGTGAAAAAGTAAGTCTTCCCTATTGGTTCCCTTAACTAGCTCAAGGAATTGTTGTAAATTTGTAGAAATGTTTAGGTATTGTATATATTGCACTGATTTGTTGTCTTCGGATGTTTAGATGTGAGGAGCCATTGAGTAGTCCAGGGGTTTCCAGGAGCATCAGTGAAGGCATTATTGAAGAAGAAGAGGAGGATGAAGAAGGAGGTGAATCCAACCATAAAAGGAAGAAAGAGGATGACCAAGAGGTATTATATGTTTAAATTCTGATCAGATTTTGTGACAATAACTGACTGACTGTACTTTACCATTAAAAAGTTTGGGATAAGTAAGATTTTTTTAGTGAATAAATTAATGAATGAAATTAATTAATAAAATAAATGTAATCTTTTATCTGATAATATTTTCAGCAGGGATGCATTGTTCATTGGGACACTAAAGACTTTAAAGTGCCCCTATTATTGGTAATGAAAGGTTCATGGTTTGGTTTTGGGAGTCTGCAACAACAGGTTGGCATGCATGCAAGGTCAAAACACACTATGCATCTATTTTTACCTTACTTGCTCAACGACTCCCAAAAGATTCGCTCAACGATTCATTTCTTCAAACCCCTCCTTTGCGTGACGCTAATCTGCGGTAATTGGTCCGATTGGTCTCATTTTCATTGCATCATACCTGTAATGCCTGATAAAGCAGCATTTGTGAGCGCAGTGCTGCTTTGTGTACAGTGTTATCTGGGAAACCGCTATTTTTACAGCTCCAAAAGTGGCACCTAGTGGCAATGAATTAATCTGCATTTTCATTCAGACCAATGCTATAAAACCAACAAGTGCTTTGACATCAACATGAAATGGCTTGGGATTCATTTTAAAGCGTTTGTGAGCGCAGTGCTGCTTTGTGTACAGTGTTATCTGGGAAACCGCTATTTTTACAGCTCCAAAAGTGGCACCTAGTGGCAATGAATTAATCTGCATTTTCATTCAGACCAATGCTAAAAGACCAACAAGTGCTCGGGCAATATGCTAATGCTTCATGTTGACATCAACATGAAACAGCTTGGGATTAGTTTTAAAAACGACTCGTTTCAATGATTCAGAGTCAACTCTTTCTTTTGAGAGAGTTAAGTTTATACACGGTGCACTTTCAGATTTAAAACTTTGCAGGATGTTTTCATTCACTTAGAGCTGTTGTTACACACTGCATGAAAGTTAATTTTCAAAAATCCATAATAGGGGCACTTTAATAATGGCTGCTGAAATTCAGCTTTGCCATCACAGGAATAAATTACATTTTAAATAAAATAGAAAATGTAATATTTCACAATATTACTGTTTTCACTGTATTTTTGATGAATAAATGCAGCCTTGTTGAGCATAAGATACTTTTTTTTTTTTACATTTAAAACATCTTGCCAACCCCCAAATATTTGAACGTTATCCCTTACTTTATTGTACATCTAAGTATGTTTCGCAATGAACATTAAGCATTATTTTATGTGCAAATGTTTGACGATTTTCCCATTTGACAGATAAAGAAAGAATGTCTGTACACCTGGCGTATTGAACTCTCAAAGACAGAGAAGTACTGGGAGGGCTGGTTTAAAGGACTGTCTTCTCTCTTTCTCACCTGCTCCGTGCCAAAACTCCTCCTGCTGGCTGGTCAGAACGCTTAGACATTTGTCTTCTAGACTTACTCGGTGTAAAAAACAACTCTTAATGAGTAATGTGTCTCCCATAGGTGTTGACAGGCTTGATAAAGATCTTACCATTGGGCAAATGCAAGGTAAAGCATTTATATTCTTGCTCTTTATGGTACAGCACATCACGTTGCTGTGGCCAGAAGGTCCTTCATGTCTTTTGTGGTTGTTATTATTACAGGAAAGTTCCAGATGCAGGTTCTGCCACAATGTGGCCATGCTGTTCATGAAGATGCCCCAGAAAAAGTATGTCTGTTTCACATCACAATCGTGGAAAACATTTTCGCTTCAGCTGTATTTGCTGCTTCTGAACTATGATATCTGATGCAGGTAGCTGATGCTCTAGCCACCTTCATGGTCCGTCACAAGTTCACTGAATTCAAGGAGGGTTTCCCCTGGTAAGACGTCAAGTGTTGATTGAATCGTATAAAAGAAAATCAATTTTTGTTTTGTTTTCTGATCTCACCCTTTGTCTTCTGTGTGTGTCGTTTACTTCAACAGACGTCGTGTAGCCTTCACTCGTAGTCTTCATCCAGCGATGTGCCGTCCCTCTCTGCTCTCCACCGCAGATTACAATACAACCAAAACCATGATGACAACTCATTCTTAGCACTTCATTCTTAAATTATATTCAGTTTTGTATGACTTTATGTATGTTTGCTGTAATTATTACAATTCTCTTGGCTATTTTGGCAGGAAATAATAATACAATAATACTTATAATTTAAAATCGTTATGTATATTTCAATTTTTATTCTCCCCCGCACTGATTATTTTTTGCATTTCCTCTGATGCCTTGCTTGTTTGTTATTGTAATTAGGATGATTGCATCATGTTAAAAGTGTTGGTTTTTGCTGATTTCAAGGGAAATAATAAAGAGAGGTTTCCACAGTCTGCGCTTATTTATAATTTACAGTATTAGCAGAGAGAACATTTCATTCAATGGAAGCAAATCGGATATTATAACTGAAATATACCAAAATGAATAAGAATGAGAACTTCTAAATCCAAATCTTATTTATTCTGTGCATGGCATAAAATCATATTCTTCGCTCTTTACTTCTGATTTACAGGTTACATCATGCAATTTTATACCAACAAAGAAGCTTAACATAAAAATAACCTTTTGGTCAGTGGTGTAAGAGAGGCAGTTCTGTCTTTAACTCGTATGTAAATCTAGCGAGAGAATCAATATATAAACATAATAAAGTACATCAAGAAGCACAATAATTTGAACAAGATATATTGCTATTTTTAAACAAATTTTACACTTAATAATTCAATACAGTATTGCACAACTTTATATCTCAGATAAGGGTGTTTTATTTACATTTGTACATACATAATCATGCTGTTGATAGATACAATAGCTTTAAAGTGTGTTCTTTTTACGGTCAAAAGTGTACGCATATATTTTAATGATTCTTATAAGAGCCTGTTAACCATTAACAGAGAATGTGTTATTTTAGCAGCAAGACATGTAAAAACCTGTGAGCTTACATGTTATAACAGAAAGAAAAATCAAATGAAAGCATGAAAAATACATTTATTTTCATTTTAAGAAACAGAATGGTGCAATTTAATATAAAAGTATATGGTGCTGTTATCTTTTCAGATAAACATGTTTAAATATGGCATTCATAATGATGAAACAGTTTGTTGCAACTTTACAATTACCATTGTGCAAATTATTATTTCATATCATCTCATATCACACAGTTAATGTACATTAACATAGGGCCTTATTTTGCCTGAACGATAGCAGAAATAATATTTGAATAAGGGCCACACGGCTTCATCTCTCATACCATAAATCAGAGGACTCAGGCAGCGCGGCAGCATAAGAAGAATAAGAAAATTCAGATATCTGAGATTTATGAAGAGAGAAGAGCTGTCAGACACTGTGTATATTGCTTTGTTTATTGTTGCATACAGGAAAGAGGTGAGACACAGTCCCAGCTGAATCAAGTGCAAGAGCACCGTTTTGAGAGCTTTCTTAGCAGAATCTTTATCAGAGGAAACAGACCTGGCTGTGATCATAATGCTAATATATGTGAAAACTATGATCACTGCAACAGACACAAAATAAAGAACATCAAACCCTTGAGTTTTATCCAGCTGCCATTTGAATAAAAACAATTTTTCTTGTGTGCAAAATAAAACCTCTACAAATAAACTTGGATTGATAATTAACACAAATATAATGTCCGTTATAATATTGATAGAACTAAGGAACCAGATGATTCCTATGGCGATTCCAGTCCTTTTTGGTGTGGCAATATTGCAGTGCCTCAGAGGGAAGCAGATTGCCACGTACCGCTCCAGAGACATCAGTGCTAGTGTCAGAGGAGCGTTACGGAAAGTGCAGTAGGAGATAAAGACTAACAAAGTGCAGATGGCTCTGGTTACTTGAAGGTAATACGTGCCCATAGTGTACATGACAGTTGTGAGGAGCAAAAGCACAGAGTCATTCATAAGCATGTGGCCAAAAAGAATGTAGCGCGGCGTCTCATGGAAGACACGCTTGCTTCTCAGGGCAAAGAACATCACACAGTTTACAAAAAAGAAAAACAGAGATATTAACATAAGCACTGAAATTTTAGTACTGGGCCCAGCATCCAATTCTACCTTAAAGATTTGCTGATAAATAAATGGCACATCCACAGCTGTGCCATTAGAGCCCGCCATGAGCTGAAAGACAAGAAACAGAGAAACAAGGCTGATTAGTGTAAATCTGAGTGGCATCTTTATCTTGTTGTGCACTGAAGTGAGATTTGTACGTTTGCAGTATACCTCAGACACAAACGTGTTATTCTTCAGTCAATAAGTCAGACATCAGCCATTCATCTGATCCAATGGCAGATTCCACAAACAGTTCTGCTCCTATACTTATATAGCTGGGACAGAACCACATGGGTATACCGTATGTGTCACTGGGTGCATAAGAGGTATGGGAGGAAGCAAAGCCAGATAGAAGTGTGGAAAGTAGTATGTGGGGGTCATTCTAAGAAGGGCCCTAAAGACCTGTGACCAATAGTGAAATTGCTTCTACCTATTTCTGATTTAATGCAAAACATCATACCATAATGGTATAATTCACCACACACACACACACACACACACACACATGTTGTGTTTCCATGTTTTATGGGGACATTCCATAGGCGTAATGGTTTTTATACTGTACAAACTGTATGTGCTATTGCCCTACACCAACCCTACACCTAAAAAAGGAAACTTTGTGCATTTTTACTTTCTCAAAAAAACTCATTCTGTATGATTTATAAGCTTGTTTCCTCATGGGGACCTCAAAAATGTTCCCACAAGGTCAACATTTGGTCCCCATAACGTGATCAATACCAGGCACACACACACACACACACACACACACACAATTAAAATAATATAACAATATTTATTTTTAACTTCACAGTAATAGCTTTTATTTATTACTAAGTGTATGTTGGCCTTATTTGGTTACCATGTTTCACAGATTATGTTGTTGAGGCTCATAGCTTCCACAGAAGTTTTAACCTACCGAGATGATCATTGATGGCGGGAAATAACATTAACAAATGGACAGCTGTTAAGCGAAAAGAACGATCCCAAATTCGCAATGCAATTTTTGCAAGTGATTCCAGTTCAGTCCGTTAAAGTTAATGTATTTTCTCTCGGATTATTTGCGCCCTCTGCTGGTGACATTTACAAGTGTTGATGAGACGAGGGCTTTAGCTTTCTGAATGGATAATGGCAAAAAATAAACAGAAAAAGATGAGAATTAAAATTGTTTTTAAATGAAGCCTTTTCTGAGATTAAATAATCTTTCACTGACCACTTTCACATTAATTTCGAGGCCAAAATTAATCTAATTCCAGATATAAACAAAAATACATTTAAAAAGTCTGTACAGTCTGTACAGAAAATGCATTTTTGACATTGTGAACTAAGGCCTTTATAGACAAAAATAATAATAATAATAATAATGAAGAAATTATACAGTTTTTTTGGTGAGTACTGAAACTGTTAATAGTTAAATATAGTACTTTATTACAGGGACACCTAAAACTCATGAGTTTTATTTTAATGAGTAAATACTCAACTATACATATCAATGTTGTTTGTAGCTTAAAAACAAACTAACAACAAAAGAGTCTTCTTTTACAGTCCAAAATGTGCTGAACACAGGCCTTTCATATAAATTATTTATCATTTTTTAATTTTATATAATTTTTGTTTTATTTGTTTATTTATTTTTTAGGAGTTTAAAAGATGATGTGTAATTTCAGCAGTAAGAAAAATGCCTGCCAATGACAAAAATCAAAGAAATGAAATAAATAAATAAATAAATTCACACCATGCAATTTAATTAAAAATATATATTATTCTGTTGTTGTTCTGAAGGAGAACAATGTGGCAGTAGCATTTGTAAGTCAGTTTTTTTTCTGTCACAAATATTGCATGTTAACTTATTATTTCATCTCATCCCGTACCATACAGTTATTGTACATTAACAGAGGGCCTTACTTTGCCTGAACAACAGAAAATAATAAACTTAAACAAAGGCCACACTGGTTTATCTCTCATTCCATAAATAAGGTGACGAGGTATACCTGATATTTCTGAAAAGAGAAGAGCTCTCAATTACCATATATAAGGCTTTGTTTATTATAGTATACAAGAAAGAGGTGAGACACAGTACCAGCTGAATCAAATGCAAGAGTACCATTTTGAGCACTTTCTTAGCAGAATCTTTATAAGAGGAAACAGACCTGTGATCATAATGCTAATGTATGTGGAAAATTATGATCACTGCAACAGACACAAACAAGAACATCAAACCCTTGAGTTTTATCAAGCTGCCAAACGGCTTAAAGGGGTCATATGATGCAATTTAAATTTTTCCTTTCTCTCTGGAGTGTTACAAGCTCTTGGTGCATAAAGAAGATCTGTAAAGTTGCAAAGACTAAAGTCTCAAATCCAAACAGATATAAAAGTTAAGAGTCAACCACGCCTACCTAAAACGGCTCGTTCTAACACGCCCCCACATGTCTACCTCACTATGTGGGAAGATTTGCATAATGCCGCCCAAATGTTCACGCAAAGAAAGAAGGCGTGACTTTTATTCTCGCTGTAGTATTGTTGTTGCCGCCGCCTGCCATGTCATGAAGGCGCTGTGTTTCATTGTGAAAGCTAAACTACTTTGTTCGGTCTTCCAAAAGAGGAGGATATCTGCTTCGTCATGTCTGGAGCTGATCCGTGCTGGTCGCTGAGGAAATACATCAACTTCGTGCTGTGGATCGCCGGATCGGCTTTCACCGTGGACGAAGCGGAGTCCAGCCCGGGGTCGTCACATGTGGTTGCCGCAAGCCCACCGGCCAATCCGTTCTCAAGCCCACCGGCCTCCGCTCCCTCTAACCCACCGTGTGTGACGCTGTGTGTTTCGTTGTGAAAGTGAAACTACTTTATTTGGCCGTCCAAAAGAGGACACGACTAGAAAACAGTGTTCAAGTTGTATTTACAACACTGTTCCAGAACAGTTTAACCCAAATATTCAGATGTGTGCAGTGCATTTTATGGAGGACTGTTTCCTGAACCTGGAAGAGTAGACTACAATGCCGGCTGTTCTGACTCACAGACTGTTTTTATATTAAAGAATTTGCCACTGATGATTCAAACGTGAGTTTTGAGCAGTGTAGAGTAGCACTTGTTGTTTGTCCTTTCTCTGATCACAAATGCAGACATGGTTTTATGTTTATGGTTTAGGTTTTATGCGTAACATTTCCGCCACGCGCTTGAGGTATTCGGCCAATCACAACTTTTTCAGACCGATGAGCTTTGTAAAAATCGACGCGTTTCAGAAAGGCGGGGCATATAGGAGAAACAATAATGTACAGTATGTGGAAAATAATGTTTGTTTTTGTTTTTTTTACCTCAAACCGCATAAACACATTTCATTACACCAAATACACAAAATAATGTTCTTTTTAGCAACATCATATGATTGCAAATTGCATTTCTAGTGCAATTTTTTTATTTTTTTGGTGTGGCAATGTATTGGGGTGAGATTTTAAAATGTTCAGACACAATCGTATTGCTTTTCTACAGTGAATAAGGCAGACATCAGACCTCCATCTGCTCCAGCTGCAGATTCCATAAATCACAAAGGATGTTGATTATGCTTGGCTACCACAAATTTCATTGATCATTAATTTTCAAAGATAAAATTAACAAATAAAATATTTAACACTATCATATTCACAAAAAAAACAAAAAAACAAACTAACATTGTAGATTATACTAAAGCTACTTTATTTTGCCTCGTCGTTGCGTCCCCTGCTGGTGACCTTTGCTGTCTTGATGAGGTGAATTAAAATAAGCCTGTTTTTGTTATATCAACTTTTTTAAACCACATGAACAGAAAACACAAGGTTTTGCTTTATTTGAATTTGCCTAAAAATTTGCAATTTGCACATACACGCGTTGCTGCTGTAAAGCAAGGTCCCATCCAGACATGATTAAAATAAGAGAAATGTAAAGTAAGTGTACAGTGTCTGCTTAAGCATTTCTCACTTAAACACATATAATCTGCTAGAATCACTATGACTATAGATTTTTAGAGCTGTTAAAATGTTTGCTCACAAAGATGAGTGCAGACTGTTAAAGAGGAACATAGAAAATAGTACAGTTATAGATGAACTAAATTAGTAATTTATTTTTTTTGGAAAATAAAAAAGTACTCAATCTTAACTCTAAAGGATTTGGAAGACGTTTGTTCAGCACACAAGCAGTTTCACCCACTGACAAGCAAAAGTGTCTCAACCTCATAAAAAAACAATAAAACTGAATTGTAAGTTAGTGAAATAGTTTATTTATAGGCATCATATGTGTTTAAAATTAAAATGAGGGTGGATTATTTATATTTACAGTGTATATGATAAACTATACGTATTTATATGCCAAAAGAGCCTCCTAAAAGAGTCTTCCTTCAACAGTCCAAAGTATAAAGATTCTTATTAGAAGAAATTGAAATATTGTTTATGTTCACATCCTCTTACTAGACATTTAATGTACATTAACAGTGGGCCTTACTTTGCCTGAACGATAGCAGAAGAAATATTTAAATAAAGGCCACACGGCTTCATCTCTCATACCATAGATCAGAGGACTCAGACAGCGTGGCAGAATAAGAACAGTAAGATAATTTAAATATCTCAGATTTATGAAGAGAAAAGAGTTGCTTCCAGTCATCATGTATAGTGTTCTTTCTATTATAGTATACAGGAAAGAGGTGAGACACAGTCCCAGCTGAATCAAGTGCAAGAGCACCGTTTTGAGAGCTTTCTTAGCAGAATCTTTATCAGAGGAAACAGACCTGGCTGTGATCATAATGCTAATATATGTGAAAATAATGATCACTGCAACAGACACAAAATAAAGAACATCAAAAGCTTGATATTTATCCAGCTGCCATTTGAATAAAAACAATTTTTCTAATGTGCAAAATATAATACTGGCTAAATAACTGGGGTCAACAACTAAAACAAAAATAATGTCTGTTACAAAATTGATAGAACTAAGGAACCAGATGATTCCTATGGCGATTCCAGTCCTTTTTGGTGTGGCGATGTTGCAGTGCCTCAGAGGGAAGCAGATCGCCACGTACCGCTCCAGAGACATCAGTGCTAGTGTCAGAGGAGCGTTACGGAAAGTACAGTGAGAAATAAAGACTAACAGAGTGCAGATGGACTTAGGTATTGGAAGAAAACAGAGAGCTACAGGTTTAGGGGGTGAGTGTGAAGGAGGCCAACTAGTAAGAGCTGTGGGGGTAAACCTCACTCCCCTGATCTCAAGAGACTAGAGGCTGCAGTCTTTAGTGCCCTTGTTAGTGTGCCTGCCTCCCATGCTGGAAACGCTGGTTCAAATCCAGCTTGGAGCAGGTCGCACACGCTCCACCAGTCCCTTAATGGTTCTCTACTTCACGTCACATTTTGAAGGAGTACACCATGGGGGAGCGGGTCGAGGAGTTACATTGGTGCCGTGACCCGGATGG